AAAACTTCTAACTATATAAAATAACAATTTACTATTAAATCTAAGAGTCTTGATTATATAATAATTCATGTCAGAGGCTAAAAATTATATACAAAGTACTAGACAAATTAGTTTCTACTTCTATATTTATCTTTTTTTTCACTTAGGCAAGATCACGCTAGTGATCGATATTTAATAGAGTCTCAATTTCGTAAAAGATTACAAATATATTACTATAACATTTAAACTATGATCCTAACATCCTACAGCTGCTTTAAAAAGTGCCCATTAGCAATCTGTCGCATTGGCAAGATAAAATCAAAAGGTAATACTTTAACTGAAGGGTTCATTTAACCTATTGCCCTATAATAGGATACTGCCAATCTGATGATATCTTCTTGTAGAGAAGTGAAAATAAAAGAAAAACTATATATAAAAAACACAGAGGTATAGGGATATAATAAAAGATACAAACAAAAAAATAAAGAGGTAAAGAAAAAATAAAAAAAAGAAAATATGAGATATTTCATCTATGCCAGACGGTTACAATTATAAGCTTGTGTTAGGCTTTGTAAAAATTACATACTATTATTTAAACTAGTCTTTACTCTAATTTATATAATTAGTATATTTAAGCAAAAACCATAAAGAAAAAATCAGCTTCTTTGACATTAGCACCTTATTGAAGACCTAGGCCACAAGAGCTTATCGAAAAATCGACACCTACTACCAGTACCATAGAGAGGTCAAAAGTCATACTGTTGGTCTCGAAGCATCATATGTTTAGGTTGTCACTTCTGAGACACATAATCCATATGTCCATGTTTTATAAATATTCATGTGTTTGTTGTAATAAGAAAAAAGGAAACAATGCTGACCGATTTGGTAAGTAAGCTAAATCATCCACTTTTTTACAAAATTTTTCTAAAAAAAAAGTAGAGGTCAACAAGAATATGTGAGGTTCTTCTTGTAAGTTTTATAGTTATATAGTCTAGTTTTCAAGTATCTATTTGATATTCTTGTCTAGAGACTTTGTTCTACTTGTTTCTAGAATTAACCTTTTAGTTTGGATGCCAAACGTGTGAGGGAGTTCGTCGAGAAGAAAAAAACTTAACCCAAGGCACAAATCTGTCTAATATTTTTATATATCTGCTCCTCGGTGTTTTATGTATTGTAGACTTCGTTGACAACAAGTTTGCTTAGCACAAAACTAAGAATATTGCTGTGTCCACTATGTCGCTTTCCTATATCACTAACTATAGTTCAGTAAATTGTTGTTGACCAAGTGATTATCAGAAAGAGTTAATTTTTTTAACTTCGATATTTATCTATCAAATATATCAAAGTAAAAAACTGATAAGAAAAACTTCATTGATCAGCTTAATTATAAAGAGGTCAAATCAGAGTCTCAGATTATTATTTATACAAATTTCTATTATATTCAAGGTACATGTATACATATGTTTGTTGTTACATTTTGATTTAATAAATAAATAATGCCAACTTGTTTGTATATGTAATATCAATTGTTTGGAGAAGATAAACTGAAATACCAACTTATTACAAAAATTTTCTCAAAAAAAGTAGTAGACCAATGAGAATATGTGAAGTTTTTCTTGTAAGTTTTATAGTTGTATAGATTAGCATTTCTGTTTTTACCAACTTAAAAGTACATATTGCCTATTTCTACAAACTTGTTTTTAGAATAAACCTTCTGATTTAGATGCTGAATACTTTGGAGAGTTTGTTTAAAAAGAAAAAACTTAATCCTAAAGAAAACCATTCATTCTTTTGATACTAACTTTTTAGTATATTATATTTAGATACTTAAACTTTATCAACAATAAGCTGCTTCTATTTATAAAACCAAATTTAGTATCTACTTTGTTGCTTTTTTATTCATTTTGCTGTAGTTTAGTTTTTGTTGTTGTTGACCAAAGGATTGTCAAAAAGAGTTGTTATTGATTATTTTATAGGCGGCTGTTATACATACCTCCCAATTTTGCTATTTATACCCCCCACCCCTGTAAATTAAAATTTGTTAATTTTTAATACTTTGAGTGAAGATATCTTGACAACTACCAAATCAATTTTAATAATTTTTTTTTATTTGAATTCTACGAATTCTACGAATTCAGATAAAAAAAAATTCATTAAAATTGACTTGGTGGTTGTCGATATATCTTCGCTCAAAGTTTGAAAATTTTAAAATGTCTATCAAAATAAAGATTGTACCAAGTTTCTCTCAAACTTTGAGCGAAGATATCTCGACAACCACCAAGTCAATTTCGATGAACTTTTTTTTGTTTGAATTCTATGAATTTGTAGAATTAAAATAAAAAAAAGTTCATCAAAATTGACTTGGTGGTTGTTGAGATATCTTTGGTTAAAGTTTGAGAAAAATCTAAAACGTCTATCAAAATAAAAATAGTGCCAAATTTTTCTCAAACTTTGAGTGAAGATATCTCGACAACCACCAAGTCAATTTCGATGAACTTTTTTTTATTTAAATCCCACAGACACGTAGAATTCAAATAAAAAAAATTTCATCGAAATTGACTTGGTAGTTATCGAGATATCGTCGTTTAAAGTTTGAGAAAAATCTAAAACGTCTATCAAAATAAAAGCTGCGCCAAATTTTTTTCAAACTTTGAGCGAAGATATCTTGACAACCACCAAGTCAATTTCGAAGAACTTTTTTTTATTTAAATTCTACTGACTTATAGAATTTAAATAAAAAAAAGTTCATCGAAATTGACTTGGTGGTTGTCGAGATATCTTCGCTCAAAGTTTGAAAAAAATTTGGCGCAGCTTTTATTTTGATAGACGTTTTAGATTTTTCTCAAACTTTAAACGACGATATCTCGATAACTACCAAGTCAATTTCGATGAAATTTTTTTTATTTGAATTCTACGTGTCTGTGGGATTTAAATAAAAAAAAGTTCATCGAAATTGACTTGGTGGTTGTCGAGATATCTTCACTCAAAGTTTGAGAAAAATTTGGCACTATTTTTATTTTGATAGACGTTTTAGATTTTTCTCAAACTTTAACCAAAGATATCTCAACAACCACCAAGTCAATTTTGATGAACTTTTTTTTATTTTAATTCTACAAATTCATAGAATTCAAACAAAAAAAAGTTCATCGAAATTGACTTGGTGGTTGTCGAGATATCTTCGCTCAAAGTTTGAGAGAAACTTGGTACAACCTTTATTTTGATAGACGTTTTAAAATTTTCAAACTTTGAGCGAAGATATCTCGACAACCACCAAGTCAATTTCAATGAATTTTTTTTTATCTGAATTCTATGAATTCGTAGAATTCAAATAAAAAAAAATTTATTAAAATTGATTTGGTAGTTGTCAAGATATCTTCGCTCAAAGTATTGAAAATTAACAAATTTTAATTTACAGGGGTGGGGGGTATGGTATGTATAACAGCCGCCTTATATTGAATACGCAATAATGGCTGATGCTGAAAATTGGGGTCTCGATTTTAAAATATAAGCCCTGCTAAAAAACACCCCAAACAAATTTTAATATTTAATATCAAAATAAGTCCAATTTTCAGACAATAATTGAATAAATTATATATCGATATCAAATCAAGTTAATTAAATCCAATTCGCAATTATGCTAACGCTAACATGTATCTTAGTATGCATCATCAATATGCTACGTAGAATTAAAGCAAACTACGTACGACAAAGTAAACCATGCGTGTGATTGGTATACTTTCCCTTTATGAAAGTTGGTCCAACTAACCGATAAGAAAATTTACTGATTCGAATCAATAATTTGAGGCGGAAAGTTATATTTTTAAAATGAAAAAACCGCTTATCGGTTTGTCCGCTATATCATGTGCCACAATCACATCGAATTACGTACGTACGTACGTACGTATGTATTTGGCAATGTATAAAATTAAACTGACAAATTATCGTTACGATTTTCAAAGCGAACAAAAATATTTAGACTTCATTAATTCAACTCCAACCTCCATTAATATCACCGATTGAAAAGACACATTAATGGCACTATATATGGAGATGTAATTGTCTTGAATAGAAAAAAAATTATTAAAGTCGTTGAAATTAATGTTGAAATTGGTGAAATTGGTGAAATTGATAGTTTTTCAAAATTAATTTAAATTATTTAAATATTTTAAACTGGGTTCTTCATAATTATTCTAATTATTCAGATAAAAAATATTAAAAAAAGTCTTCGCCATCTATACTTAGCATCGATATTAATATCAATAGATCAATAGAATCCGAACCTAGGGAAGACCTGACATCTGACATCATGATTTTAAAAAAGGTAAATAAAGATCAAAACCGCCTTTTTATACACACACAATAATTATGAAAGATCGCATCGGAGGCTTGGACTATATGCACGCCAACTATAACCTAACTGGTCTCCAACTAGAAACATTTCTATATAAGTCTAAATAACGTATGCAGTTACACATGTTGCAATTTTCTATATAATACCTTCTTTATATAATCCACAGTCGGTATTTAACTTGAATTTTACCTACAGAATGAATCGTATCCAGGGTACCATAGTCCGCGCCGTACGGTATAGTCTTAATTTTATGAATTATTATTATTATTTTGATAACTTACGAATAATGACTTAAAAAGTAAACCAAAATAATAATAATAATAAAACTTGCAGGCAAAAAATAACAGAACCTGATGAAATTAAGAACAAGATCCATGATATTGTTCAAAAACATGTAAAATTAACTGATAAAAATAAGTGGATGGACGTCAAATTAACTGATCCAAAACTCAAATTTGAGGTATGATCATATATACATACATATATATATATATATATATATATATATATATCCTTAACACTTGGACACTTGGAATCAAATGACCTTTGAGACTATGATTTTTATAGTCCTGAAAGGTCATTTAGGTCATTTTGTTAGCGAAAATCCCATATCGTTCGTTGCAAAATGATATTAATGCGCTCGATGTTTTCATAGATTCTACGAGATTGTATGTCTTTAACGGATAGAAATATTCCAAATCTAGAACTTAATTCCATTGAAACAGTTGGTGATGCTGTAAAGTTTTATTTGGGTGAAGAGAAGAAGGACCCTCGAATTGGTCACCCAGTGGCTGCTTGGTTCATGGAGAATGATGATAAATTGCCGCCAAATATGACTTTCATCCCATATGTAAAAGAGTTTGGGGTAAAAAGGGAAGATCGAAGAAAAATACAAAAAAAGTAATTGTTTTTTTGTCTTAGAAAAACGTGAGCAACAATGGATGCAGCAGAATTTCCCTTATTCGTCCAAATTCAACTTTTTATGTTAAACAATGCATCCTTACGTTATACAAGAAAAAATATATTTAAAGGAAGAGCATTCGATATGCGATTAAACATTTGTGCACTACAAACACTCCAAACAAATGGAATGTTACCAATTTAAATGTCAGTGTCCAATCATGTATCTATGAGTTTAAAGCCATTTTATAGCCGTGCGAATCCGTCCGACTTTTTGACTGGAGAAATATTGATATTATAACCTTCGGGTGTTTTTAACAAACCGTTCAATCCCAATCCACCAAAAAAGTTTTCCCACAGTAAAGTCCAACTCAATTTCAATCCCTGTTCCATTCGTTTCTCCTAAGATAAAGTCGCTCCCTTATTTTACTTATTTGCCGATACAATGCCTTTGGTAGGTTATTTGTCTATTCCATTTGCTTTTTCTTACCCTGCTTCTCAATAATACATTCAAGTAACTGACCTTTTTCATTTCCCCTTTATCACTTTACCTACGCTTTTAACAGGAATACGCTCTTCAACACAGGTAAATAAATGTGTTTACACAACAAGATGGACTTCGCGATATTAATAACCTCCTTTTATTACCCACGATGAGACTTGGTGTCGCTTATTTAAATGTGCAAAATTTAATATAGAAACTCGAAATTTATATTTAAATACTGTTATATTACTTAAATATGTGTTTATCAATCATTTGTCAATTATTTTAGAGGTTATTTCCCCGATCCTGGTCCATGGAAGATCCCTCAAACTCGAGAAGTTGTCCTTCGGGACACGCTTGGGATTGAGGCTCTTCCTCGACAACGCTTCAACAAGACAAAAAGAACTCCTTATGTTCTTAATATTATGGTTGTTGGTATGTATTATCAATTTATTCAATTTATTCAATTGATATAATTGAATTTATTCATTATAAACCTTGCCATTATCAAAAAAAGGCGAAAGTGGTCTTGGAAAAACTACTTTTATGAATACTCTGTTCAATACACCCCTTAAAGAAGAAATCCATCCTAAAAATCCCCAATCCACACAAACTGTGGAAATTAGTCCTGTACATTATGGTTAGTGTCTCTAAGTTGTTATTATTGAGATTTAATCTTTTAATAAGTTCTTTATATATTAAATTTATCTTTTATATTTCAGAATTGGTTGAAGACGGTGTTACCCTTAATCTTACTGTTGTTGATACACCTGGATTTGGTGACCAGCTTAATCGTGAACACAAGTGAGTTAACCTTTCATTTATTTCAATTATACTATTTCTATCAAAGAAAATTAATTAAATTTTAATTCATTATAGCCTTGATCCTATTGTTGAGTATATTGATAATCAATTCGAGGCTTATCATACTGCTGAACGCAGTCCCGAATTTAGACGTGCCATTCCAGATACTCGCATACATGCCCTTCTATACTTTATTGCTCCAACCGGTCACGCGTAAGTTTATTTTCGTGTATTGCTCTGTTTTAATATTATTGTTTAATCTCTAACTATATTCTTAATAGCCTTAAAGAACTTGATATTAAGGCCCTTCAAGTTTTATCCGCTAAAGTAAACGTAATTCCAGTTATCGCAAAAGCTGATACTCTCACACAAGAAGAGAAAGCTGCATTTAAGAAAACTGTGTGTATGCCTATGCTGTAATTTGTAATAAATGGTTATGGTTCATATGCATTTGTTGTATTTTTGAATCTACTAACAATTCATATTTATTACTGTAATATAGATATTAAGAGATATTGAAGCTAATGATATTAGAATTTTCCCAACTGCATATCCAGATGATCGGGAAAGCGTTGAAGACCTTGAGGTATTTATTATTATTATTTTTTCTACTTTGCTCAACAACCTTTTAATGCTAACATTAATATTATTATATTATTAGAAATATATCCCGTTCACAGTAATTGGCAGTGATCAATTTGTGGATGTTGGTGGAAAAAAAGTACGAGGAAGATCATATCGATGGGGTATTGTGGAAGGTTAGTTTTATATATCCTATTTGTGATTTATTACCCTTTTTATTAGACTCTCGTAAAATATTAATTTATTTATCAATAGTTGAAAATGAACAACATTGTGATTTCATTCACCTTCGTGAACTTCTTATGACACATGCTCTTCATGATCTTCTTGAGACAAGCCATACGGTGCATTATCATAATTATCGTGCCCAAAAACTTCGTTCTAGTGGTCGTCCAGAATCGATTCTTGCTTGTGATGATTCCTATGAACATAGAATTGAAAGAAGCAAGCAAAGTATGGCGGAAGAAATGATTAAGAAAGAAGAAGAAATGCGGCAAACCTTTGTACTGAAGGTTAGAGAGAAAGAAGCAAGCTTAAGAGAAAGGGAAGAACAGGTGATTTATAGGATTCAATTACTATTATTAAAACTTTGTTACCCAATTTTCTCGATTTATTGACCTTTTTTTTGTCCAAATAAAAATAGCTCAACCAACGTCGACAGCAACTCATGGCAGAATTAGAAGAACAACGCTTAGCGCTCGCAGCAGAAGAGCGTGAATTCCAAGAATTATATAATGCCAATCGAAGTGCAAGGTAATTATTTGTCTATTTGTAGCTAGCTACATGTTTTTTGAGTGTGTATCTTCATTTTCATAATTAGAAAAAAAACTAAAAATTCTCTTTGTTTCTGTAGCGTCTCAAAAGGCAGCAAAATTTTTGGCAAGAAAAATTAATAATTTATAACTACCTTATTTTAATTTTTTTATTCGCTAATTTTTCTTGTTTATTTCCAATGATTTTTTACGTAACCTATATTAAACCAATTTATATTTTGGTTTTTATATCATTAATATATACGTTTTGTTTTGGATCGACTTTATTACTATTACA